ATGGGTGTTACAATAATTCAGTACCTACTAAGCACTGCCCATCAGTTGTGTTGTGCTGGTATCAGAGCTTGCGGCAAGTGGACTTTGAAGTTTGACTCCAGACTTTGAAGAAGTAACGAAGTCTGAAGGTCTCCCACTCCTCTTACTCCCCACCAACCTCTCAAATGAACTTGCCTTCTCCAGTATTTGAGCCCAGGCCCATCGGAGTATGGCAATCTGCATCACTAACCACTATATCACCTGGCAAAAGAGGCACTGAAAGTATAATTTAGGTTTAACAAAATTTTGGGAATGTAAGGCAAAAGTACATAATGTCAGTCATTTATGTACATTGTGCACTGTTTTTTCTTCCCCTCCCATATGACAGACATACGCTAAAATGATAAATTATCAGAAACATCTGTGATTCAAGAAAAAAATTTCTGAGTATTTAATTAAGTTGTCTGCAGATGAATTAGTAACTGTTGCATAAAGAATAGGAGACAGAAATCTTTGCAGTCTGCAAAGCAGTATGACAGAATCATTATATGCAAAGCAGAAACTTGATCTGCAAAGCTGTAGTTCGAAAAGAGAAAATGAAGCTACTGTCTCCACAGATGCATAGATGCACAAACTTTTTAAGCCGGCCAACCAGTATAGTGGTTTGAATCGCTGACTGCTGTGGCGAGGGGCCTGGGTTCGAATCCCAGGGAAGGCATGGATGCTTGTAAATGTATATTGTCCATGAAACATGGGGCATTCTAAATATGTGGCGAGCTAAAAGTCCTCTCAACAGGTTAGTGGTAGGGAAAGAGGGCTGAATTGAGCTAAATTACACTGTCACCTGTAAGGCACTCCTGTTGCCAATGGCAGGCGTAAACTCGCACTCCTTGCCACGAGGAATTTTGTGAGCTTCGGCTGACAAATGAGCATTGGCAACAACAACAAACTTTTTAAGAGAAATAACATTTACTAAGCAACAAAAATTGTTCTTAATGGTTCCAGAGAAATGCACATGCAAGAAAACCTTCCATCTATTACATAAAATACGACCATTAGATAACCTGTTAAGCATAACAAAAGGCACTTAAATGAACAAAAACACATTTTTGTTTATTTGTGTAATTTTAGAACTTTAAGTAATATGAGATTAACTGAATGGTCTAAATACAATAGAGAATTAATTACACTTGATTTTAACAAAAGAATAAAATTCTTGGCTAAAGTGCACAATTGCCCACTTATTTGGCGTTTTTTACAAGAGTAAGAAGAAGGATTTTTGTCTATTTTCTTTGACTTTTTAAGTGAAAATAGGGTCGATGTGTACATGGATGAAGTCAAGGTAGTGCACAATACCGTTTTTGTGCAATTCTGGGATGTTTTTTTAAGTGAAAATAGGTTGATGTGCACAAGGATACAGAGTGTGTGCAATTCTTAAAAATGCACCAAGCAGTGGGCAATTCTGCACTTTCCCCAAATTCTTTACAGAAAACGCCCAACTTGTAACGTACAAATTTCAGATGTAGCCAAATCATTATGCAGTGGCCTTTTAATATGAAATTTCAAAACTGAAAAATAAGATATTTTACATTTTTGTTCAAATAGAAGACAGAGTTAAATTTAATTTTAGAGCAAGTTTTATTCACTTTTATTTATAGAATATACGGTACTATTCCATTTTGAGTACCGTAAAAAATTTGCAGCAAAAACGTATGCGCAAAAGTGCCAAATCTAGCAAACGTGCCCATTTAACAGCGCGCCAAATCTAACGTACATGCTGATTTCAGATTGCATAAGTTTATATATATAGCTCTATATTTCTTAACACTCTCAGTGTTAAGGCCAGAAAATTCCATACAGAAGGTTGACTTCCACATTCATTATACATGAAAATTTCTGCTAACTTTTAATGTATCTGATTTCAGTTTGGATGTATATTGGAAGAAAAGGAATCAAGGTACAAAATGAAAGAGTCATTTTTTAATTAAAATCAAGAAAATATCATTTATTCATGACATTTTGAGGAACTTTGAAATTTCAAGGCTAAACCTGTAACGTTCAAAGTGTTAAGACGCCATTGAAATACAGTCAAAAATCGTTAAGCCGGACTCGTTGGGACTTCAGTGATTCCGGATTATCGATTTTTCCGGATTATAGATCATCAGTTTAAATCTGGTAAGATGGCATGCAGAAATTATAAAATTAAAAATATGAAACGTATTTATGAAATAAGAAACAATTATGATCTAAAGGTTATCAAATTTACAAAAGAAAGCTTAATATTTTTTTTACTTTATTAAACATTTCTTTCAATGTAAGTTGTTTAGGTTTGCATCGTTTTATGGATAATGCTTTCTCTTTATTCTATAAACAACAAATATTCTTGTTCAGTTACAAAGTTCCGCTGTTCAAGTCCTATAATTGCTGTGTCGAGAATACCGACTAATTTGTGAATTGAAATTTTTTTTGTTTCCAATAACCTCTATGTAACTTTCTTCACTATCGGAAGCGAATTATAATGACGAGGAATTTGATTTAAATCATACCAAAGACGGAGTACATCGAGATGCAATACAACATTTAGTAAGGAATTATAAGCCAAATAAAATAAAAACATCTGCCCTGAAGATAAGGATAGTGCTGACAGATCAACTTCCAATTCATTGCGCCCCCACCGCGGCGTTCCTCCCTGCAGAGCAGCGTGAAATTGATAAACAGATTTTGGAATGGTTAGAGAAACGAAGGATATGCTTTTATCCATTTTTTGCAGCAATTCCACTTTTTGTTTAATGGACTTCGAAACATACTTTCGCTTTGAGATCCTTTACATATTAGTAAATATATATATGAAATTCTATTTGACATAATCGAAAGTTCAAGCTTACTTTTATAAAATTGCTCTAACAGTCTGCAAAAAATAATAAGTCGGATCCAATTCGAAGATTAAGGAACAACGCAATCTGCAAAATTAACTGAATTAGTTCATTTTAGCTTAGCTTATACCGTCTGTTATACATTAAATGAGCATGCGTAAAGGTATTATGCACATGCGAACACACATATTCACAGCCGTAAAGGTCCATGCGCAGAAAGTTCGTAGCTTTGAAGTCCGGATTATGGGTGTCCGAATTAACGACTTATAGCCTGTACTAGTTTAATTTTTAAATCCTTTTGTGATAACCTTTGGATTTAACAATTTGGGAATTGCCCATGATGAAAAGTCTGCAACAGAATTTTGGGAATGCACCCACTGTGCAGAATCACCCACTGCTTGACGCATTTTTAAAATATCACATACTCGGTATCCAGGTACACATCAACCTACTTTTTTACTTTAAAAAAAATCCCAGAATTGCATAAAAATGGCACTGCGCACACCCTTGACTTTATCTATTTAAACATTAACCTATTTTCACTTAAAAAGTAAAAGAAAATTGACAAAAATCCAATTGTTTTTACGCTTATAAAAAGCAGCAAACAAATAAGTGGGCGATTCTGCACATTACCGAGAATTTTTTCAAAGAAAAGGCATCATTCATTATAGAAAATTATGCTTGAACAACCTATGAGATGAAATTATGCTTTAGCAAACTCGGTAGCAAAATAGCGATTCAGGCATCCATTCAGTTATGTTTAGCAATTTTTATATAAATTATAATAATGATCTGAAATAGTTATTTACTCTTATGCTTCCATTCAGTCATGTTTAGGCTTTTTTATATAAATTATAATAATAAAAAAGTATTATATGAAATTAACTTTTCATCTACATTAAAGTCTTAAGATACTCATTTACTATTATACTTCCTTTCTTGCATTAGGGTAGCCGCAATTATTTTTGGCAGCACTGGCATCAACAATAGTTTGGAAATTTTTTACGGCCCTCAAAACCGAATATACTAATTATCTATTAATCTTCTTAGACATGATTATATGAGCATGAAGTGAATCTTCCTTAAATCAAGTATAAAATCTCTTTAAAGAAACTTCTATTGACACAAAGATAGCATTTCTCAGTACTCATTTAATTTTTGTCTCATGGCACCTAAGTTCCAATTACAAACGAAGCAGAAGCCAGGCTTTTTGCCATCTAGTCCAATTTTACAAGCTCCTAAATTCTACTGCCCTAGGTGGTTTCAATGGCACAGATAGAGCATAAAATTGAGAAAAAACAGTTACTATAGATACAGCTTTCAAAGATATCACTAGGAAATTTTGACACTGACATGCTTTTGTTGCATTCAAAGACATCACCACAAGATTTTAACTTCTTGCTATACCTTTTTTAATCTGACAAAAAAAACTTAATTATGATCAAGGTGATATTAATAAGCCAGAATTCCTTGTTAAGAGAGAAGTGCTTCAGAGTTTTATTTTTGTTATTTTGTTATTTGTTTATTTTGTTTATTTAAACTGGAAGGGGGAGAAGATGGTCTTTTTAAATGTTTTTGCAAATTTATTCTAAAATTGATCTTCAGAACAAAATTCATAGCATTGTAATACATACTATAGCGAACTTTCATTATAATTACTTTAGTGCTACTAGTTGCGAGAAAAGTTTTCTGAATCAAAATAATTTAAGGAGCATTTAAGAATTTTAAATGTTCATTTTGCATTTAAAACATCTTCCAATGCTGTCTACATTACAGCCAATGGAGCATTCAGGCAGACTTCTACGATGTTATCAATGATTCCACGACCAAAAAAAAAATTCAAAATACTATTTAAAATGTTGAAACCAAACTTTTTCTTCAAAAATATACATAGAGTTTAAATTTGTTTCCCTATACATCATTTTGACTTTTTTTTTTTTTTTTTTTATTTGTTTCTGAATCAAGAGGAGAGACAATTCAGAGATCGCTCCAGGTAACAAAATTAGGAACTGCACCAGCCAAAGCTCTACCCATGCCACTGGTCTTTTAAAATTCTAAAATTTTTGTTCCCCTAAATTCTGCAATCCAGTGCAGCCACTTCAGCTCTAGCACTGGCCCTGATAACAGGTAACAAAGCTGTTTACTTACGAGTTGGCTTAGTTATTCCAAGAAGTCCTGCATTTCCAAGTTTCTGGAAAACTTGCTTTGCTGGGTATTTATGGGCTTTTTCCCATTCGTCGACGAAAGGATTAATATCTTTTTCGATAATCTAAAAATGAAAATGTAAAGATTAATAAATTTTATGCAGAACTTACTTCCCCCCCCCAATGAAACAAATTAACATATTGCACTTATTTTTTTCTCTTCCTTCTTTCTTACCTTGTTGACAGTCTTCCTCATTTCATCGTGTTCTCGCGTAAACAAATTTAAAGAAGTCAATGAACGGTATCGAGAAGTCAGATGAAAACATTTTACATCTGAGCTACAAAATAATTTAAAAACGGTACTCGAGATTTTGAACATGATGAACTACATGCAAAATCGTGGTGTTTAATTAAACCTATGTTATATTGTACCGAATGACCAAAATAATGTTTACAAGATCAGGAAAGATAGTACACGCTAAAGCGAAAGATTTCGCAAATCTATGGAGTAAACGATAAGGACATAATGGTTCACTCTTTGCATTCATTTGTGACGCAATTCATATGATCGATCTACTTTCAGTAAAACTAACGTGTATCACAACATTTATGATACCCTAAGCTACTCATCCTAATAAAATAATACTGATCACTGTCATTTTCTTTAAAGGGTCATAGAAGTAGAAATAGATCACATTGTTTTCCTTGAACAACTTCCGGTTACAACAGGAAGTTTATAGTATGATTTGTTGAAAATATAAGAACAGAACTAATTTTCTGCTGTTTTGAAATTTCTTATGTATTTTGGGCAAATTCACAGCATTCAAATAACTTGTGTGAAATCAGGCTTTCAGATAAACTTGAATTTTATACATCATTATGCAATATTGATCTCTTCATGAATGGCAATATTCTTTTGTTACGGCAAATCGGGTTGTGTGGGTATTGTAATAATATGGAAATTAACCCAGTTTTAATGAAGAAAGAGAAATTTCGTTTGTATCATCGCATGTTCCAGTTTATTTTTTCATTCCCATAAATACAATGAAATAAAAAAAGTGCTCCCAAGCAACGTCGGAGATAAAAATTCCATGGAAAATTTACACCCCCTTATGAATATCGAAACATCAGACAAACTTCATGTATATAGGATTATGTAACAAACAATTTGTGCTTGGATCAAGTTTCAAGGTTCATCTTATGAGTCATACAGACAAGAAAAGTTATATTTGCGGGGTATGTAATAGGTCATTTGCTGATAATTCTACATTAAGGAAACACATACCAATTCACACGGGAAAGAAACCGTATAAATGTAAAGTATGTTTCAAATCATTTGCCCGAAGTTCTTACTTAAAAAATCATCTGCCTGTTCATACAGATGAGAAACCTTATGTGTGTGAGATATGCGTTAAATCATTTGCAAGGAAGACTTACTTAAAAAGGCATATGCATATCCATTCAAACAAAAAACCTCATGTATGTGTTTTTTGTAATCAGCCATTTATGCAGTTGTCAAGTTTAAAAAGTCATCTTCATATCCATTCAGAAGAAAAATGTCATACTTGTGAGGTATGTCACAAGCACTTTGTAAGCAAACTTGGATTAAAAAGGCACATGATTATCCACACAGGAGAGAAACCATATGAATGTGAAGTGTGTTGTAAGTCATTTGGAAGACTTCCTGATTTAAAGAGTCATTTACAACTCCATACAGGAGTAAATGTCGTGTAATATGCAATAAGTCTTTTATTCGGAATTCTAAATTAAAATATCACATGATTATTCACACTGGGGGAAAAACCTCATGTTTGTGACATTTGTAACAAGTCATTTGCAGAGAAGTACACTTTAAAGAATCACATCCGTATTCACACAGGAGAGAAGCCTTATGCGTGTGAAAAATGTAACAAAACATTTGCTGTCAGGTGTGGTCTAACAGCTCACATGCATGTCCATAGATGAAACAGTTTTTATTGAATGTAAAAAAAAAAAAATTCTAGGTATAATTAATATAATTACAGAGAGGAAAGCGAGAAAAGCTTCACTATGCATGACATGTTTTAAGATATAATGCTAAAGTAGATTTATTCATATTCACTGCCATAGAGAGAATCTGTAAATCCTGGTATTGATTTCAGTGGGGGCCCAAGTGATAATGATAGTGTATTACATTGTTATAAAATAATGTATATTATATTAATTAAGAAAAGATTAATGTACATATAATATTAATATATATATTTGAAAAATCAGTTACAATGATACCTAAAAAATACAGTAAGTAAAAGAATGTTAAATGTAAATAGAGGAACAGCTTGCGTATAAGCCCATTTTTTCGCCAACGGTAAACATCGCCAATCTGTAACTGTGTGGTAACCTGATATAAGCAGCAGAATTGAATTTTCACGCAGTTTGAAACACTCGGATTTTATTATTATTATTATTAGATTTGCTGTGTTATTAAAATGGCAAGAGACAATAAGATTTGATAACTGTAGCATTTTATCAATGTTTAAAATGGGTATTTAGAATTTTTTATGTGTTAAATCAAAAAATTTGTTGAAAATTTAGATATTTCTTAATTTTTTTTTATGAAATGTAATTCTTTTTTTTTTTTTTTTTTTTTTTTTTTTGTTCCCTTTGAAGAGAAGATGGAATTTTAATCAACTTATTTACATTTTTGGAATTTTTTTTTTTCAATTTGTTGCTCTGCTAGTATGGGAGAAATTATTCAATGACTAACAAATTACAGTCAAAAGTCTTTAATCCGGACTCGTCGGGACTTTCGATTCCGGATTATAGATCATCAGTTTAAATCTGGTAAGATGCAGAAATTATAAAACTAAAAATATGAAACCGTAATTTATAAAATAATGAGCAATTATGATCTAAAGGGTATCCAAATTTACCAAAAAAAAAGCTTAATATTTATTTGTTTACTTTATTAACATTTCTTTCAACGCACGGATGAGTAAAGCATACCTTACTCATAGTCGAAATTAGAAAATTGCAACCAGAAAAACTATTTGATTTGTATTCGTGATATTTATAATGACGAGGAATTTTGATTTAAATCATATCAAAGACGGAGTACATCGAGAATAAATACTACATTTAGTAAGGAATTATAAGCCGACTAAATAAAAACATCTGCCCTGAAGATAACGATAGTTGACAGATCAACTTCCAGTTCATTGCGCGCCGCGACGTGCCCCCCCCCCCGCAGAGCAAGCGTGAAATTGATAAACAGATTTCGGAACGGTTAGATAAACAAAGGATATGCTTTATCATTTTTTTGTAGCAATTCCACTTTTTGTTTGATGGACATCGAAACATACTTTCGTTTTCTAGATCCTTTGGGAGCTCCAGCATCGGAAATTCTATTTGACATAATCGAAAGTTCAAGCTTACTTTTATAAAATTGCTCTTACAGTCTGCAAAAAATAATAAGCGGATCCAATTTGAAGATTAAGGAACAACGCAATTATCACATTAACTGAAATAGATAATTAGATAATTTTATCTTATACCGTCCGTCATACATTAAACGCGCACGCGAAAACGTATTCTGCGCTTGCGCACATGCATATGCGCAGTCGTAAATGTCTTGCGCACACGATAACGCCTATGCGCATGCGTCAATGCGGCGCATGCGCAGAAGATTTTGCTTTGAGGTCCGGATTACGGGTGTCCAATTAACGACTTTTGACGTATTTGATTCAAATCCTTAAAATTATTTAACTTTATGCCTCCATTCTTGAGAGTGAATTTCCTTTCAATTTTATCACTAAATTTTTATACTCCCTATTTTATGACAAATCGCCTGATGTGGCAAAATTATTTTGAAGAACATGAATAAATTCAGTAATTTTATCCTTGAGAAAGCACACATATGCACACACAAAAAAAGACCACTTACCTTGATTTCCATCATAAAATTATTTCCTTAATGCAAATTTAGAAAACTTATAATCATATATGTCAAAAATTTATTCACAATACTAATATATACACAAATACTTATTAATGATGCTTTTGATAACCAAGCAAAAGTCACCATTCAATTTCACAAACAATTTCTAAAAATTTTGGGACTATGTCCAATTCTTTTGCTGCACATTGTTTCGAGAACATGTATTCTGCTAAATACAAAGCAAAGTCTCCATTTCGGTTATATTGGGGTTTGTTTTGATATGCCACCACGTACCTTCAATTGTATTAGTGTGTGATCCTGTAATTTCATCCACAAAAGAAATGCTATGGTTTACAGTTAAGTGGTCAAATCCCAGGGTGAAGCTTCGATAGCCTCCTCATCGATATTATTTTTCTGACGAATCCACTCTTGAATAACATAAGTGTTGTGCTGTATATCATGCACAGCCACAAAAAAAAAGTCTCCATATACGTTCAACCCTCCAAACACCTGCCCTTCAACATGATGGCCCCGATGATACTTTCTTTTCCAAATTTACTTTCATCAATTTCACTGTCTTACCAGGTCCCATCATCTGGCTGTTCATTTCAATGTACTCCAGAATTGTCTCTCTTATGCATTGGCTCCAGAAGGCCATTGTGTTTGATCCAAAACCGTATTCTTTCATTGTCTTTGATGTAGCAATTTTTTCAAGCACATCATATGTCAACACAAAGATTTCAGCTATGGTCAGTTTGCTTTTTGAAAACCATGATGATACTCGAATAGTCTTTGAAGCATAGCAAACACTGCTGTTATTTGTTTTTTCCCCACAGTACCATGTTATGCCATCTGAGAGTTTGCGATCATTTTTAAAACCATCGAACGGTTGCATTTAGGACACATCATACTACTCTGAATTAGCTCAGCCTCCTTTAAAAAATTCAAGCAAAATTTCTTGTTTTGTGCGCAGAAACACAAACAGCCTAGTGGGGATACCATTTTTTCCCCAACAATTACCAAGTTTGACAAGAATTGGCTATAATGCTTTGATATTTTCCTATTATACTCTTTAATGGTGCAATATTACTAAAATATAAATTTCTTTAAATAGTTTTTAATATAAAATTGCAGTTAGAATAATGTTTAAAAATACAAAAGTAAAAGAATGTAAAATTAAAATAATATGTAATATTTTTATAATAGCAAATTGGTAAAATAATATATGAAATTACAACTAAATAATATATATAAATAATCTAAATTGAAAGTCATCAAAATGAATAATAAAAAACTATATTAAATGGTACAATGAAATGGTAAAATAAAATTAAATACAATAAATAATAATACACTGAAATGGTAAATACTCAATATATGATAACTCAATATTTAAGATTAAAGAAAAAAAGCAGAAGTTAAATAAAAAAAACTAATCATAACAAAAAACAAGAAGAGCTCTGGCACATGCACTACATAAAGAAGTAGATTCTCTCGCCTTTCCGGCCTTCTGTAGCGTTTCTGGCACGGCTACCATAGTTGGCGCTTTATCTGCCACTTGGCGAGAAAATGGGTTATATGCAAGTTTTACTATGATGTTATAGCAAAATGAAATATTATGAATTACAATTAAATGAAGAATTATATATAAATAATACAATAATAAGTAAAGTAAAAAATAAACAATACAAAATGTTATAATAAAATGACAAAATATGAGTATGGTGATATATAGTAAAAACTAAATGGTATAATATAAGATTAATATAGAAGCAATATAATA